TCTGACGGTGGGACAGACCTACCCTCGGTCTGATGGTGGGACAGACCTGCTCTGGCTCTTATTTTGGGACAGACCTGCTTTGGCTCTGACGGTGGCACAGACCTGCCCTCGGTCTGATGGTGGGACAGACCTGCCCTCGGTCTGATGGTGGGACAGACCTGCTCTAGCTCTGATGGTGGGACAGACCTGCTCTGGCTCTTATTTTGGGACAGACCTGCCCTCGGTCTGATGGTGGGACAGACCTACCCTCGGTCGTATGGTGGGACAGACCTGCTCTAGCTCTGATGGTGGGACAGACCTGCCCTCGGTCGTATGGTGGGACAGACCTGCTGTGGGTCTGAAAAAATGAATAAAGGTTCCTCTTTTCTATTACCCTCTAAAATTTCTAGGACTCATAAATGAACAGGTTGACCTCCAAATCCTGCAGCTCCTGGCTTTACAGCATCTCTCTTCCTCCCTCAGCTGAACGCAGCTTCAGAGTTCAGAGGTCACCCTAGTGTCTATGTCATAGTCACAGATGACAAAACATGAGTTTACAACCTGACCTGTGAAGGTCACAGAGGGAACCATTAAGGTGGCCGTTTGCTGTTATCCTGGCTGATTGCAGTTTGGATGGATAACCAGTGACGTCAGCAGTTATTCATCAGCATCATCACGGCTACAGAGGTTAACCTGTTCTTTAGCTGTAAGCCTTTAAAGCAGGAAGACGGAACTGGTTAAACATTAACTAACTGAACAGATCCATCCCGAACTTGTTATGGAATCCCCAAACAGTCTAGTAGAAAACATCTAACAGCTCATATATGTAATGTTTTTTGTTTTTTTTATAATGTTTCCACCTCATTAATTTAAACTGAGGCTGAATATGTAGAGTCTACTGCCTTAATGATGAAGCAGAGGTAATAGATAAGAGAGGTGGGTGGGTCAGTATGGAAGAAAAACTGTTTCATTGGAATCTACCTTTTTTTGTACAACGGATTTTAAACACTGAATTATTTTAACACCATATTTTAACCCACTACATTTTTTTCACACATTGAATTCCTTACACTGATTTT